GGGGATACGAACCACGCCACCATTTGATCTACACTTATCCAACACAGCAGTCCATAATTTGACAGAAGTTGATCTATTTATGTGGTGTGAATGTTTTTAAGTTAAATGACTGTGGCCCCACTCTGTTTCACCTGCACCCAGTGTTGACGCAGACCCTCACCCTGATGTCGACAAACCCTCCACATCATTCCCCACCTCCCCAGACATCCCCCCCTCCCCACCTCCCCTGCTGAGTGACCGATGTCCACGGCTTCTAACTTTCACCCCAGGTTTAGCTGTCCCAGTTGTCAGGTGCCAGTAGGTCACGGCTATTTTTAGATCCCACACATTTTTATCTGTCACATTCTTTTCGTAGTCAGAAAGGGGGGTAATATTTTACTGTGAGAATCAGCAAGGGTTGTAAGAATATTTTACTGTGAGAATCAGCAAGGGTTGTAAGAATATTTTCCAGTTTAGCAAGGGAGACAACAATCGGGCAATAAATAAATTTGCTAATATCGGTAAGGGAGATAATATTGTATATATTAACCAGGAAGGGAGGCAATCATTTTTTTTTTTTGTTTTAAATAACCAAGGGAATCAACTTTGTAAGAATTTTGAAGTTTTTATGATAAAATTTTATCAAAAGAAAAATGTCTGAATTAGATAGCTGGACTAAAATGGATTATGTTATAAAAAAAGCTTAAACCATAATCCAAATCCTTACAAAAACCCAAATGTTTACCCTTGTACATAATAAGAAATACAACCTCAGCTCTATGTTATTTGTAAAGTCCTGATGTAATGGTGATGAACGCGTGATGGAAACTTGCGACGCCATTTTTGTGCAGCAAATGTTGCGAGCCAGAACATTTTAATTTCTTAATTAGAAGTGAAAGGTAGTATGTAACAGACGGGCTAATGACGTGACCGCGGGGAGAGGGGGGGGGGATACTCTGCCACGTTGAAAGACCCCCCCCCCCCTCCCCCCCTTAAGGTCACGGTCTGACTCACCACTTCTCTATGCAACATTTCCGCACCCCCTCCCTTCATTAATATTCTCCCCCACCCCACCCCCTCCTCATCCCAGCGTAATTTTTCAAAGCCTGCAGGGTCAGTACTGGTCGGGGAACGGTGGGGTAAAAACATTTTTGGTTGGATGGTGGGGGGGATAGGGGGGGGGGGGGAGCTGGATGGGGGGAACAGGACTGCGAAGGTTGATGTAATTAGGTGTAACGGTCATGTTTCGCTAATTTTATACTCACAAAAATTAGGGGTTAGACTTACGTGTAGTTCCAGATTTTACTTACAAAACTGGCCAGATTTGTGTAGGTTTATGTGGCAAGCTTGACAATATTTTTTATCAACCTTTTAATTCTACTTGTCAATCTTCCCAACACTACTTTACGACTCTACTTTACGACTCTACAGCCCAACTCTACTTGCCTACTACTTGCATTAACTGCCTCTGCCTTGACTGTGTAGTTGAAAGTGGTGCGATACACACACTAACCTGACACGATACACACACTAACCTGACACGATACACACACAACCCCAACACGATACACACACAACCCGAACACGATACACACACAACCCGAACACGATACACACACACACACTAACACGAACACATTTTCAAATGTTGAATCTGTTTCCCTTATCTCAGATAATGGCATAGTCGTGTTGAGTGGTGGGGGAGGGAGAGGTGGTTTGTGTAGTGTAGGGGGGGTGAGTCTTAGAGTGGGGGTGGGGGGGGGGGGGGTTGCAGATTAAAGTCATAAAGTTTCTCTTGACACGGCTGTAAGCCAATCTGGGACCGGATATACGTCACACAGCTGGCTTTTATGGGGTGTCTTCTGGGACAATAAAAATATTCTCAGGATCTCGTCCTGGGCAGGTGTCCGGGGGGGGGGGGGGCGACATAAGGACCCCCGGGCTCGACGTCACACATTGCCTGACCCAGGTAGCAATGACCCGTATTACGACCCCGGTAGATGTGACCTAATATATAGCAGGACCCGAGTAACAAGGGTCTTTACCATTGTTGCACGTAAGACCCATAACCCAGGTAGTACTCAATATGACACGGTTTAATAGTGACCCTAAATGACCCAGGTAGCTTTTGACCCCTACTGTGGCTATGACACGGGTACATCCCGACCCATTAGAACACTAGGGAGATTATCTGTCCCCACAGCTAATCCCATGAAACATGAGGTGTCCGCTAATCCGAAACTATGTCAAGCACGCCATTGTCTAAACGTTGATTCAGTGTAGGCAGTGTGAGCTTGTAGCGCTGGTTCTTTAACTCTGTAAATATTGTTAAACTCTACCTCTGTAACTCTTCAATGTTAAACCCCACCTCTGTAACTTTTAACTGTTAAACCCAACCTCTGTAACTTTTACCTGTTAAACCCCACCTCTGTAACTTTTACCTGTTAAACCCCACCTCTGTAACTTTTAAATGTTAAACCCCACCTCTGTAACTTTTAAATGTTAAACCCCACCTCTGTAACTTTTAAATGTTAAACCCCACCTCTGTAACTTTTACCTGTTAAACCCCACCTCTGTAACAACTAATCGTTAAACCCCACCTGTACGTCTCGCGACAAAACACCACCTAGATCCACCTACCCTGGTATGAAAAGCGCCCCAGTCTCCCTCCTCTACACCTCAACCCTACTCCCTTTATACGCCTATGTCCAAGCCTCACCCCTACTCCCCGTATACGCCTATGTCCAAGCCTCACCCCTACTCCCCTTATACGCCTATGTCTAAGCCTCACCCCTACTCCGCTTATACGCCTATGTCCAAGCCTCACCCCTACTCCCCTTATACGCCTATGTCCAAGCCTCACCCCTACTCCCCTTATACGCCTATCTCCAAGCCTCACCCCTACTCCCCTTATACGCCTATGTCCAAGCCTCACCCCTACTCCCCTTATACACCTATGTCCAAGCCTCACCCCTACTCCCCTTATACGCCTATCTCCAAGCCTCACCCCTACTCCCCTTATACGCCTATGTCCAAGCCTCACCCCTACTCCCCTTATACGCCTATGTCCAAGCCTCACCCCTACTCCCCTTATACGCCTATGTCTAAGCCTCACCCCTACTCCCCTTATACGCCTATGTCCAAGCCTCACCCCTACTCCCCTTATACGCCTATGTCCAAGCCTCACCCCTACTCCCCTTATACGCCTATCTCCAAGCCTCACCCCTACTCCCCTTATACGCCTATGTCCAAGCCTCACCCCTACTCCCCTTATACACCTATGTCCAAGCCTCACCCCTACTCCCCTTATACGCCTATCTCCAAGCCTCACCCCTACTCCCCTTATACGCCTATGTCCAAGCCTCACCCCTACTCCCCTTATACGCCTATGTCCAAGCCTCACCCCTACTCCCCTTATACGCCTATGTCTAAGCCTCACCCCTACTCCCCTTATACGCCTATGTCCAAGCCTCACCCCTACTCCCCTTATACGCCTATGTCCAAGCCTCACCCCTACTCCCCTTATACGCCTATGTCCAAGCCTCACCCCTACTCCCCTTATACGCCTATGTCTAAGCCTCACCCCTACTCCCCTTATACGCCTATATCTAAGCCTCAGCCCTACTCCCCTTATACGCCTGTCCAAGCCTCAGCCCTACTCCCCTTATACGCCTATGTCCAAGCCTCACCCCTACTCCCCTTATACGCCTATGTCTAAGCCTCACCCCTACTCCCCTTATACGCCTATGTCCAAGCCTCACCCCTACTCCCCTTATATGCCTATGTCTAAGCCTCACCCCTACCCCCCTTATACGCCTATGTCTAAGCCTCACCCCTACTCCCCTTATACGCCTATGTCCAAGCCTGACCCCTACTCCCCTTATACGCCTATGTCCAAGCCTGACCCCTACTCCGCTTATACGCCTATGTCCAAGTCTACACGAATTCAGCCCTCACATAGACAACATCCAAACCCACACGCCCTAGAAGTCTGACTAGATCAGGGACGACCCCGTGTACTAGGAAATGACTAGACGCGACGATAACTCTCCCAGCCGTTTTGTGTGAGCTTTAAATTGTCTGCGGAATCCCACAGCGGATGCCAGCTACACTCAGGGCATAATGCCAGAAGTCTAATCCTTGACGGGTTCAATGACCTCCAGGCTTATAACCGGTGCATACATACACTAGCACGAACTGCTGACACACACACATTGGTGTAAATTGTCGTTACATGGTGTAAATTGTCGCTACATGGTTTAAATTGGCGTTACTTGGTGTAAATTGTCGTTACATGGTGTAAATTGGCGTTGCATGGCGTAAATAATGTTATAAGTGGTAAATTGGTTTCAATTACTTTGTGGGGGACAATTGACTGTTAATTTAGAATAAACAACGTAGTTTTTGTTCAAATACTAATTTTTGTTCAAATACCCTAAAAAGAGTCTTAACAGACTCAAGTCAGTAACTTGAAAAATAAATATAATTGATTCCAACCAATCCACTAAATATTTTAAAGTCAAGTTTGACAATTAAAAACTAAATTTTATGAACCGTTCTGTTTAAAAAAAATAACAAAATTAAGAAGGAAAAGAAAAACCGAGCGAAGGGAAATAATCCAGTTAAACAACCCTACATTTTTTTTGCACAGTTGATTCCCCTTTTGTCACAATATTGTTACTTTTGTTTGTGTTCAGATGGTGTTTGTTTATTCTAAAGAAGAATAGATAACACAGACATATATATATATATATATATATATATATATATATATATATATATATATATATATATATATATATATATATATATATATTATATATATTATATATATATACAATATATACAATTATATGATGCCGCACTCAAATAAGAGCTTAAGAACAAATATTTGTTATATAATTTGGAAGTACAATAAAACAACAATGTGCGTAACCACGATAGACAATCTGCAGAATATTTAACAAAGAAATTATTTCACACATATCTAGATTATATTTGTGAAAATATTTTCTTTCCAGATGAAAATCCAGTTTTTAAAGACGATTTTCCACGTGGAATACAAACTACTGGTGCCCAAGCAGTGGTATTTTGCAGAAGTTGGAAGAGTCATGAAGGTAAATATTACGGAGTTAACTTAAGCTCAAAACTGTCTAATAGTGAACATACATGTTTTAAGACCAAAACACGGGATGGTGTTTCATCAGGGGAAGTAATCGTAAAATCCTTCTAAATTGTTTCTATATTACTGGTTACTGCCCTTACTCTATAGAATTTTATTTACTTTACAAAAGTGTTTGGTAACTTCATGATCAATCTGTTTTTTCTTACAAAATTTTTTTTTACTTGTTTATAGTCATTCAATGCGTCAAAATAATTATAATTATAAATTATTTATTTTGAAATTATTTGTATTTTATTTTTAAAGTAAATAAATTAATACTTAGATCTATTACTATTAAAATTTATATAGGGGACGTATTAATCTATACAAGCCTATCGTTTAAATCTGTAAAAATTTATAGGGCATTATTTGAACCATCATTTTACTATTTCTTAATCGAAATTTTTAAATTAACACTGAGAAACACCTTACCTTTTTTTAACAAGGGGAAATAACCATGCTTTGCTTTCGGTATCAACCGTATTAATTGAGTTTGTTCCCTTTGCAAGAAATAATTTTTTTTTTACTTTTTTTGTACACTTAGTCAAAAATATCTATGATCACTATTTTATATTGAAAATATATACAAACGTGTGTCAATAAAAAATTTAACTGATTAAATCCATTTTACTAGATTCATCGATAATGAATTTATTTTATAATGTTCCGAAAATAATTTTTAAAATAAGTTTTAACAATATTTTTTCTATGAGGATAATTTGCTCAACCAAACCATCCACCCCCCCACCCCACCCCCCCCCCCCCACACCACCACCACCCTCGGTAAAAAGATCTGTAGACGGCCCCTAAAGTCTTGACTTTGAGCAGATATTTGTCAGGTTGTTGTGTAATAACTACCATGGGATTGGGGGCTTTAAACATAGGATGGGAGTGGTCTTTTTTGTAGCCCTGCTAATTTGATAATTGGATATTTATTTTTTTAACTGTTTTTTTTTATTTTATTCAGCAGTATAATACAACAAAGTAATTAGACTAGATAGATAAATAACCAAAACAATATGAAGGCTTGATGGCCTTCTACAATCCCCCGTCCGTCCGTCCGTCCCCTCACATCGTCACAAAAAGCCAGACACCCACTAAATTTACGTCACATTGAGCCTACACCCCCCCCCCCCCCCCGATTGCATTTGGAATTATTATTTTTTTTAATTTCTTAGATATTGACTGAAGTAATTTAATCAAGTTCTACTACATTACTATTACTAAAACAGTCTTCTTAAATGCGAAATAACGGCAAATATTCAATTTCTAACATTACTTTTTTTAAATGTAAAAGGTTGACGTCACACTATCTGACCCCCCTCTTCCCTCATCACACATCATCGCAAAATTACGACCCCCCCCCCCCCCCTTACAAAGTATAATCATTTTTACAATGTATATATTTTATTTATTATAAAAACAGTTATTTGTTTTATTTTTATCAAATACTGCTAACGTTTTTATTTTACTATACAGCGCTTTGCTTTTAAAATATAAAAAAATATACTTTTTTATAACGGAAGGGTCAGTTTTCACGTCAACCGTTCAATAAATTTTACCGGGTAAACAGATCAGTGACCGGAGTCGTGTTGAAACTGTTCGTGTTTTTGTTGTCGTTGACTCGGTCTCGCCTGGCGTCAGTATTGAGAGTCGAGACAGCGAGATCTCTGGCGTCAGCGGTAATGGGAGTCGTGTTATAGAGAGGTCTCAGCCACCCCCGGGACGTGCGCGGGGCAAAAGGGGACATCACTGTCAAATATACAAAAAATATGCTAGGCTGGTGTACGTGACTTTCAGGTACACAAAGTTATCCAGAGTTAATGTTCTTGATTTCATGAGTTATCGTTACTTAAAGTGTTTCAAAGTCGAGGGAAAATTGTAATTTAAAAACAAATTAGATGAGAAAATTATGGAATGTGAAACGAAGTTTAAAATTTTTAATATTAATTTTTTTTAAATAATAAATATTTTTTTTTATGTGTAATCTGGGTGTAAAAATTATCTTCAAATATCACGACTGGGGTCGATGTTATTTTAATGTGTTGAAATTAGGTCAGTTTACCTTGAACGAAAACAGAAATTATGAATATATCTGTTGATTTCCTGTCCGCCATTTGAAACCGGCCGTGTTGACGGTTACTTGGCCAGGGAAAAGTTACAGATGTAAGCCAAAGATGGGGAGGGGTGGGGGGTGGTCGGGCTCCTGGGTCGTGGGAACATCTTCAGGGGAGGATTGTGATTTGGGGGATTGTTTGACCTGATGCTTGGGAATTCCCTGGCAACTTCAGACAGTTTTATTTTAACACGGGTGATAATTTCTTCAATTGTTTTAAGTTTCACACCGCCGCGTTATTTATTGTGTAAATACGGTGGTATGACAATTATTTTAACCTACATAGGCGTGGCAGTGTGGCTAAACTAATGACGCAATAAGTCCGCATTATTTATGTGGGGTTTACGTAAATAGAGATAACATAACTCACTTGAACTTTATGACGTAGGCCTACCCTGAGCGGAACTTAATAATTTAGAATGCGTAGCTCAGAGTAATGAACTAGAAAATATCAGCGCATGTCAAAGATGTACGGTGTGGTCGAACGGTAGAGCGTTCAACTGCTAACCCGAAATTCTCGAGTTCGGATTCCCACACTACCCCTTCAGTTGCAGAGGTTACCGAACCAGTTGCACTCTACTTCACCTGCCCTGCAGATCTTAAGAATACTTTGCTTTATTTTTACCCCCAACATGTCTACTCTTGGTAGAAAGCTGTGACATCTCTAGTACCTTCACAAACAAACACACTCGCGCACACACGCACTCACACGCACACACACACACACACACGCAGGCACACACTGACAAGAAAAAGCCTAGTCTTGATAGAATTTTTTTTTAGATAAGGTCTCGAATTGTGTCCTCGAGGTATTATTTCGGTGCAATCATTACCATTAATGTTCGGGTTTAAATTCTTAAATTTTAGTTTTAAAACTAATCAAATGGTTTTCGTATTACATTTAGAGAGTAGTCTAATACAGTAAAGTTACATTACTAAATTTCCAACAACTGTATTAGATCTGTGTTCCTAAAAACATTTTGGGTGGTTTTAATGGCCGTGTTCTTCACGGGTTAAAAAAAAAATACATCAAATATATTCCATGGCTGGAAAATCCTGATTTATATTATTTTAAATTTGTTTACCTTGAGCCACCTCACCCCCCCACCTCACTCACACCTCTTGATGCGTGAGTAAATCGCCCCCCCCCCCCCCGCCCCACCCTCTCGAGTGTGCTGGCGTCACTGCGATAAGGTGCCATTGAGATTTCCGTATCGGTCGGGTAAACAGGCTGATAGAGACGTAGCAGGTCTCATCAAGACGTGACTGGTCTCATCAAGACGTGCTGGTCTCATCAGCTGGTCTCATCAAGACGTGCTGGTCTCATCCGCTGGTCTCATCAAGACGTGCTGGTCTCATCAGCTGGTCTCATCAAGACGTGGCTGGTCTCATCAAGACGTGCTGGTCTCATCAGCTGGTCTCATCAAGACGTGCTGGTCTCATCCGCTGGTCTCATCAAGACGTGCTGGTCTCATCAGCTGGTCTCATCAAGACGTGGCTGGTCTCATTAAGACGTGGCTGGTCTCATCAAGACGTGGCTGGTCTCATCAGCTGGTCTCATCAAGACGTGGCTGGTCTCATCAAGACGTGCTGGTCTCATCCGCTGGTCTCATCAAGACGTGCTGGTCTCATCAGCTGGTCTCATCAAGACGTGGCTGGTCTCATCAAGACGTGCTGGTCTCATCAGCTGGTCTCATCAAGACGTGGCTGGTCTCATCAAGACGTGCTGGTCTCATCAGCTGGTCTCATCAAGACGTGGCTGGTCTCATCAAGACGTGCTGGTCTCATCAGCTGGTCTCATCAAGACGTGGCTGGTCTCATCAGCTGGTCTCATCAAGACGTGCTGGTCTCATCCGCTGGTCTCATCAAGACGTGCTGGTCTCATCAGCTGGTCTCATCAAGACGTGGCTGGTCTCATTAAGACGTGCTGGTCTCATCAAGACGTGCTGGTCTCATCAGCTGGTCTCATCAAGACGTAGCTGGTCTCATCAAGACGTGGCTGGTCTCATCAAGACGTGGCTGGTCTCATCAGCTGGTCTCATCAGCTGGTCTCATCAAGACGTGGCTGGTCTCATTAAGACGTGGCTGGTCTCATCAAGACGTGGCTGGTCTCGTCAGCTGGTCTCATCAAGACGTGGCTGGTCTCGTCAGCTGGTCTCATCAAGACGTGCTGGTCTCATCAGCTGGTCTCATCAGCTGGTCTCATCAAGACGTGCTGGTCTCATCAATACGTAGCTGGTCTCATCAAGACGTGGCTGGTCTCATCAAGACGTGGCTGGTCTCATCAGCTGGTCTCATCAAGACGTGGCTGGTCTCATCAGCTGGTCTCATCAGCTGGTCTCATAAAGACGTGGCTGGTCTCATCAAGACGTGGCTGGTCTCGTCAGCTGGTCTCATCAAGACGTGCTGGTCTCATCAGCTGGTCTCATCAGCTGGTCTCATCAAGACGTGCTGGTCTCATCAGCTGGTCTCATCAGCTGGTCTCATCAGCTGGTCTCATCAGCTGGTCTCATCAGCTGGTCTCATCAAGACGTGGCTGGTCTCGTCAGCTGGTCTCATCAACTGGTCTCATCAAGCCGTGGCTGGTCTCATCAAGACGTGGCTGGTCTCATCATTTGAAATGTTGCTAACGAGAGTTTTTTTGCCGGACTGGTCGTATTTGCTAGCCGGAGTTTAGCTAAGTGTAGTCTGGTCAGATTTTATTCAGTGTTTGGTCTATCGGGACTATTTCTGGTCTGTCAAAAAAGTATCAAGACACATCAACCACACCAACCACACCAACCCAACCACACCAACCCAACCACACCAACTTAACCACACCAATCACACACCAACCACACCAACCCAACCACACCAACCCAACCACACCAACCCAACCACACCAACCCAACCCAACCACACCAACC